GTGTGTGTCCCTGTGGGTGGAGGGCCTGTGGTTTGTAGGGTAGAGATCAGGGGTCTATCTTGGGTCTCTCTGGGTCTCCCTATGCAGTCCCCGGTGGCCTTGAACTCCTTATGCAGCCCAGGCTGGCCTTGAACTCGCAGTGATCCTCCTGCCTCGGCCTCCCAAGTGCTGGAATAACAAGTGTGTACCACCACACTGCCATGTCGGAGTAAATTTGCACAGCTAAAGCTGCCCTTAGGAATCTCTCTGCCTTTTTGTTTTGCAACTTTGATGGTGGAAAAAGAAAACAAACAGCCGACTGTACTTGTGTATTTCAGAATGCTGATGGGGTGAACTTCTATAACATCTTAACCAAAAGCACTCCCAACTCGGCCATGGAATCCAGCCTAGAGTTCATGCCGAACCACTTAGGTGAGTAAACCTAGACGCTGTCAGTCCTGCCTCAGCCTCCTACAGTAAGAAACCCATCTGTTTTAAAGCCTTTTCAGTGTATAATGTACACAGCATCAAAATCACCGATTTTAAGGGTATAATTCAGTTGTTTTTGGTATATTCACAGACTTGTGCGACTATCGCCATGATCCACTGTTAGAACATTTTTGTCATCCCCAGAAGATCCCACAAGTCTATTTCCAGTCAATCCCCTTCCCATTTCCAGCCCCAGGCAGCCACTCATCTGCTTTCTGTCTCCCTAGATTTGCCTTTTCTGAACATTCTTTATAAGTGAAACCGTATGATGGGGATTTTTTTTCTCCTGTAGAACTGGGGCTTGCACACGCTAGCCAAGCACTCTATCGCTGAGTTACACGCCTGACCCTTTTTATTTTATTTTGAAACAGAATCCTGTTGAGTTTCCCAGGCTGGCCTCGAAGTTGCGATTCTCCCGTGCCATCTGGCCTCTTGTGTATTGTGTAGCTGGGATTACACACAGGCCTGCGCCACTGGGCCTGGCATATGTTAGTCCTTTGCATCTGGCTTCCGTCATTTAGGGTTGAATTTAGTGGCCTTTTAGCCAACCCACGCTCTCTTGAGATGCAGAATGCCTGGCGAATCCTCCGTGAGAGGCGAATAAAGGCTGCAGGAACCCCTGGTTCTACTCAGCTGACTGTCCTTGCCCCTTCTGGATAAGCCCAGTGGCCCCTCAGTTTACACTAGTAGAACCTTCCCGCTTTCAATCCGATTCTGACTTTCCTCCTCCCCGGGAGGAACCAGGTGGCTCTTTTCCTTTTCTGCCCAAAAGCCTCCCTCTTACTGCACTGCATCCTCCGCAGCCGGGGAAAGAAAAGAAGTCTCCGTGGTCCTGTTTTCAAGCTCTTGACTAGCTCTGTACCGGTTTGGTTTTAGCCCGTCTTTCTCAGCGCCACGTGAGACGCCTGCACCGAGACGCCCTAAGTCAGCTCATGAACGGCCCCATCAGAAAGAAGCTCGGAATTATTCCCAAGGATTTCTCCTGGGGAGGTACTTATGTGACCTGATTAGGTGCCGTTGGTAAAGTTGGGAAAAGAGAGGTGCAAATCCAAGGGCCTTCATTTGTGCAATGGGCTTTGGTGGTGACGGTACGTGGTGGGTCAAGCAGTATTACATCCACACTTTATAGATGAGCACATTAGGGTCAGTGAACGACATGCTCAAATAGGTTTCAGAGGTTGGTAGGGAGGTGGGTGGGGAGAGAGATGACACCTGATTGGTTAAGAGTCAGTAATCGTGGAAGCCTGGTTTGGGAACGTGAGGATCATTATCCTCTTCTCTCTGCCTTGTCTCGGTTTGAAATTTTAAGGCAAAAAAGTGATATCCCAGGCCACAGCGAGTGACCGGTTCATTTCCACCCAAAGGTCCTTTGAGGGATGTCAGACATACCGTGTGCGTGGACAGGTTTGGACCAGCTCTCGCTTGCTGGACTCCCAGGCATCCTGTTGCTGGATGTGGTCTGCCATGGAGCACAGCTGCTCTGAAGGGCATAGTATGGAAATATCAGAGTCTTTAGTGATCATGGCCAACGAGAAATCTTGAGTAAGTTCCTCTTAGTCTTGCAGAGAGGCCTTGACACGTTCATGACAGGGCCATAGTTGGTGTTTCTTGCTGCCAGGCAGCTTGAACTACGGTGGTACATACAGGGCTGTCCTGTTGGGTGGCTCCTTATTTATTTATTTAAATATTTATTTAGTTACTTATTTGGTCTTCCTGAGACAGGGTCTCACTATGCAGTTCAGGCTGGCCTTGAGCTCACTTTGTAGCCCGGGCTGGTCTCAAACTCTCAGTGATCCTCCTGCCTCAGCCTCCCAAGTGCTGGGATTACAGGCGTGCGCCACCATGCCCGACAGGTGGCTTTTTATTGATTTTATTAGAAACAAAAATAATAAAAGTGATTCAATCCATTGGGTGGTACAAACCACCCAACAGGACATGTATATACCACCAGTGATTCAAGCCAGTGGGAATATATTAAACAAGTTCCTCCAATTTCTAGTGGAAAACACTCCAGTCTAAAAAGGTTTCCTGTTTTTTTGTGTGTGTTCCCGGTAGCCCTAGACTCTGCGGTCAGGAGGCCTCTTCCTCAGCTGTCCTCTTGGCAGCTGCTGAGAAATTAAGACTTGACCCCAGTCCTTGCTTCCCCAGGGATCATGGGCCATCCTGTCCCAACCTGAAGGCATGAGAGGGCTCATCCTACACCTGGTATCCTCATTCTTCTAGATCACATAGAAGGGAGGATGTGGTGTCAGAATCTCCAGAGGGTGGACACAGCGATGAGGAGCTCTCATGGCGCTGAGCACGTTAGGAATCGTAGGAGGTCAGGTGTAGACAGCCTCTTACAAAATACATACTTTCTTCTCCCTTTGCTCATTCTCTCTTCTTGATGGTATTTTCTAGCCCCAGATTCTGTGGTTACAGGAACCCGCCCTCCCCGAGTGTGGCTGAATGGGCAGGGTGATTATATTTTTGTAGCTGATTGCTGGTAGAAAAATTCTCTTTGGTTCCAGATCTGTGTGTGGTCCAGAAAGGGCAAGCTACCCTTGGCCACTGTCCCTTGAGTCTTGAGTTGCGGTAGTGAAACGTACATGAATAGAGTCAGCCAGGCCTGAGTTCGTGTCCCAGCTCACCACTGACCAGCTGTACCTTATCACGTAGGCATCTTGTGGGTTAAGGTGTCTTATTCCCCAGGGTCGGTGAAGAACAGGTGGGAGGTGGTTTATGAGACACTTACTTAGCCCTCTGGCTAGGGAGTAAGTGGCAGCTACTGATAGTATTGTTGTCATTCGTGTGATGATACTGGAGGGGAAGAATCCAGCAGGAATGCCGTGCTGACTGGCTCTTGTCTTGCCTCGGCCTCTTTATCCACGTAGCTTTCCTCAGGGCCACCTTGAAATTTGCTTGGGTCTTGCTTGGTTTATTATGAGGCAGCCCCACTTGTTCGGAATTTGGAACATGGCCCTGGTACTACCCAGCATAAAAGGAAAACGTTGGCCCCTAGAGTACAGTTGAGTCCTTGAATGGACCTAAAGAGGGTCCCTGGGCTTCTGCCCCGCTAACTGCTAGCTCCCAGGTTTCAATTTCTCATTAAAAATGATATCTGCTGTCTTAGTTACTTTTCTCATTGCTGGGACAAAATACCTGACAACCAAAATTAAAAGAGGGAAAGGTTTATTTAGCTCACAGTTTGTGGAGGTTTCAGTCCATAATCAGCTGGTTCCAAGGCAGGGTCACATGTCAGAGGGGCAACAGTTTGTGGATGCAGAACACATCAAAAGCAACAAGAGCCAAAAGGGGAAAAGCAAACCTCTTTTCCTCCCTTATGTTGTATGCAAACTACCTGACCTAGGGTAGGTGCAGCACTCGTACCATCTGTGGGTCCTCCTCTTACACAGGCTGAGGATGTTTATAAAGTGAGGACCCTGGCCCTCTGCTGAGTTACTTAGTTAAACTTCTAAACTTCTCAAGTTGATGGAATGAATCAACTGTTACAACACCCTAGGGTGTAAACAGCCACCCTAGAGCGTGTCCTCTATAGCCTAGGATGTAGAACTGTTGAGTCACTTAGTTAAGCTTTTAAATATCTCAAGTTGACCCAATGTATCAACCATTATGAATGCCATTATCACAAGCACTGGAGGTAATGGAGCACGTGTGTTTTTCGTGGTTCCTTTCCACCCGGCTAGCTCAGGCATGGGTCACTCACGGTCTGAAGCTCCTGCCATCTAACCTTTGCTAAGTGCTGCCTGGTGGTGACTTCTAGGTGCTGAAGCCCAGATGCTTGGGCTGAAAAGCATCTCTTGTTCTGGCACATTCTAAGCTCTTTCCCCCCGCTATGTAGCCCAGTCTTCTTACGTCTTCATGAACATGGAAGAGGACTTCATGAAGCCAGCCATCAGCATTGTGGACGAGCTGCTGGAAGCTGGGGTCAACGTGACCGTGTACAATGGACAACTGGATCTCATTGTGGACACCATGGGTAGGCACTAACTCTAAGGGAGGGACACCATGGATAGGAACTTGCCTCGGATGCGTCAGTCTTGGCGTCTTTTCTTTTTTGTACTGGGAATCAAACTGAGGACCTCACGCTTGCCAGGCAGGCATTTGTGCCTCTGAGCTCTGTCCCCGGCCGGTTTTGGCATCTTGAAGACCTTGGCTCTTCGAAGAGAAGGAAGCTGAATACAGCTGTGATCCCTCAGAGAAGTCTGGGCCTTTCTAGGTTTTGAGGAATCTGGTCCCTCAAAACCTGAAGACCTTTAGGTTATGATTAAAGAACAGTGCCTGCCCCCCCTACAAAAAATTCCTGAGGGAAAATCTTATGTATTAGTCACTTTCCTGTTACTAGAACAAAATACCTGATATTCACAGCTTAAAAGGAGGAGGAGTTTGTTTTGGCTTGTAGTTTCAGAGAGCTCAGTTTGTGTATGTCCGGCAGCTCACAGGCAGCTTGGTGGGAGGCATGGGACACGGACGCTGCTCACATCCTGGCAGCCAGAAAGCAAAGAGAAGGAAAGACCAGGAGAGGAGCTACATCCTCAAAGCCACACCCTCGGTGATACTTCTGTCATCCAGTCCCTGCCTCCTAGCACATTTCTTTCAAAACTCATCAAAGCCCAGGCGTGGTGGTGCACGCCTATAATCCCAGCACTCGGGAGGCTGAGGCAGGAGGATTGGTGCAAGTTCAAGGCCTGCCTGGGCTACCAAGTGAGTTTAAGGCCAGCCTGAACTGCATAGCGAGATCCTGTCTTAAAACAGAACAAAACAGAACTCATCAAGGGATGAGTCCATCGATGAGAAGAGTGTCACATGATTTAATCACCTTTCAAAAGCGCCACCTCTGAACACAAGAGACCTGAGGGCGATGTTCAGATCCGTTCTGGATCTGAATTGTAACTTTTTGCGCAGTGTCACAGTAGATGTTAAGCACTGCACAGTGATTTAGAACTAAACCCTAACAACTCTGCTCCTCCAAGGACTCAGGGAAATGTAACTTGGAGCTCCTAGGTGCTGTTCTGTAGCCCAGCCCCCAGCCGTCAGCTCGCTGTGACTTCAGCAGGGCCCGGTGGAGGCTCAGGGACGTTCTCAGGAGCCGTGGAAGCAGCGAGGCTCAGGCTTTGGCAGGTGCAAGGCTCCTCTTAGCGCCAGCAGGAGCGAATGCGTTTGCGCCTTGCGTCCTGAAAACCTTCTGGTTTCTTTCCTGAGCTGCCCAGGGGAGCCTCATCCTGTCTTCTCATCCCTGACACTTCTCAGTTTCCCTGACTGCCCTGTCAGCCTCCAGAGGTCCCCGGTTCCCTTCCTAAAGGGCAGGCGGCAGCTGGAGAGTTAGTGGCAAAAATAGCTTCACAGTCAGCAGTTTTTCACAGCTGAGAACCTGCTAGAAAGATAGGTGCTCAGGCCCCACCCGGAACAACAGGATTTGCATTTGAATAGGGCCCCTGTGAATTTTGTGCACATTAGATTGGGAACCGTGTTATAGGAACTAGGCCTCCCCCACCCACTTCTATACAGCTAAACAGCACTACTTTTTTTGTTTTAAGAGACATAAAGGGATTTATTAGGTAGAAATTTAAAGTATGCTCTTAAAAAAATAGAGTGTGAACTGAGCCAGAGAGGTGGGGGTGGTACCCATTATGATCCAGGGCTGGGTATGTTCACGGGGCTTGTGGGGATCTACAGGATGGATCCTCTGTGATGTGTGTTTCTGCCGCCTGCCGTGTTACCCATCTGGCGGCCTGTGTCAGAATGCAGACTACCCCGTGTGTTTGAGGTTCAGATCTGCTGCCCACTTACATCGCTGCTTCCTTGAGGGTGGAAGTGTACAGGAGGAAGTGTAATTTACAGGTGGAAAGCACAGGCCAGAGCCCGGTTTTTACTTATTGATAGCCTGGAAAAGAGAACAAGGACACTAGCAAGGCACTTTTACTTCAGCTTGATTTTATAACCTGCTAAACAAACTGGGGCCAAAAATTAAAGGTAGAATCTTGCTGGATAATGACTCTGAAAATTTGTAGAAGTCAGACACAGTTAGGTAGTGTTTGACATAAGCCTGTTATCTTTGATATTAACCTCTATTTGTTTTCCAAAATAAAATAAGTGGAGTTTCAGAGCATATGAGCTCTTCCTGTTTTGTTAATAAAGAAAATCTAATGTTCTTTTATTTTAATTATAATGATGGTGAAGGAATACACTAAATAAAGTATCTGTTTTTGTAGCCATTGGGCCATTAAAAGTTTTTTTTTTTACTATGGCGCTCAGGCTGGGCGTGGTGGCGCATGCCTGTAATCCCAGCACTCGGGAGGCTGAGGCAGGAGGGTTGTTGCAAGTTCGAGACCAGCCTGGGCTACAAAGTGAGCTCAAGGCCAGCCTGAACCACATAGCGAGACCCTGTCTCAAAAAGATAAAAATGGCCGGGGATATAGCTCAGCAGCACAAGCGCCCGCCTGGCAAGCACAAAGTCCTGAGTTTGATGCCCAGTACCAAAAAAATTTAATACATAAAAGTAAAAGAAGACAAAAATAAATAAATACATACATACATACATACATACATACGGGGCTCAGAACTTGGATCTGGCTGCTATGTTGTAGACCTGAAGATGGTTTGTAGTGACTGGGTGTAGATAATATAAAACTAGTTTATACCACTATACACTTTATACCTCCTCACAGCTTGTCCCAGGAGTAACATGGTATATATGATTTTTTTTTTTGGTACCAGGAATCGAACTCAGGACCTTGCACTTTCCAGGCAGGTGCTTGTTCTACTAAGCTATATCCCTACCCCCTATGTCCTGGGAGTAACATGGCTTATAGTTAGAGTATTTCTATTGCCAGTCCTGTTTTATAGGCACACCTGGACGAGAAGCTAAGTCTTTACCTGAGGAGTCCTGGAAAGTACTTTAGAATAATACAATGGGAATTTCTTAAGAGAGGCTGAAGGTCACGTTTTTGGAACTACTGGGACAGGGGATCCAAGGCTGCTTATGACTATGTTTCTGCAGCTGCTTATGCTGGGTCCTCCTTTTCCCTCTCCCCAGGGCAGGAGGCCTGGCTGCGGAGGCTGAAGTGGCCAGAGCTGCCCAAATTCAATCAGCTGAGGTGGAAGGCACTGTACAGCAACCCCAAGTCATCGGAGACGTCTGCTTTTGTGAAGTCCTACAAGAACCTGTCTTTCTTCTGGATTCTAGGCGCGGGCCACATGGTGAGAGGGGCTCGTCTTTCACCCCAGGCTCAGGGCTGTGCCAAGTGGAGAGCCGCAGGCAGTTTGCTGTGTGTGCGCCCACTGCCTCGGTGGGTCTTGGAAATACTTGGGGCTTGGGAGTGTTTTGAGTTCTCTGGTGAAATTCTGCTCCAGGTTGGGCGTCTCTGGTCCAAGAATCCAAACTCCAGAATGGCCCCCAATTAGTAACTTCTTGAGTGCCAGCAGGGTCTCACTTACACCTGACCTCCCAAGAGTCGAGGTAGTCAAACCCAGGGGCATGAAAAACATGGCATAAAATGACCTTGAGGCTGTTTGTGGCGGTGCTGTTACATTCAGTCACATTCTGAGTGTATGTGCAAATATTTCAAAGTTGGAGAAACTGTGAAATCTAAGAACACTCCTAGTCCCAAGCATTTCAGATAAGGGATACTCAACCTGTTTGACTGCCTCACTGCTTGGAATATAAACTCATTTTAAGAGTAAATCCTGCAGTGAGAGTTACGCTGTCCTTCTTAGTTTAAATGTGTCAGTAAGATACTTTCTTCTGCACGGTTTGTCCTGAGGGAAGAAGAGAGAAGTTGCCTTTCTCTGGCCATTTGCAGGGAGTGAAAAACAAAGATGACTTCTCTGTGAAGTCGGTCACAGAGCATGGCACAAGAGCCCCCAAATAGTGGTGGCCTGGGGATTTGCTTAGAAGAGGCTTTGAGCTGGGCATGGTGGTGCACACCTGTAACCCCAGCACTTGGGAGGCTGAGGCAGGAACATCGCCCTGAGTTCAGGTCAGCCTGGGCTACATAGTAAGTTCAAGGCCAGCCTGAGCTGCATAGCGAGACCCTGTCTGAAAAAGCCAAAATACATTTTAAAAATAGAGGTTTTGAACGCAAAGAGGAGCCATGAGGTTACTGCACTGCGACAACCTATGCAAGGTGAACATCACATTTTCCCTTCGGTTATAGGCTGATAAAGTGGCTTTTCTTGAGCTGGGGAAGACTATGGAGGCCTTAATCCTGCCCCCACGCCCTGTCCCACCTGCAGACTTGCAAAGGAGTTAAAAGAATTAATGGCACAGGCTGGGGTGTAGCTCAGTGGCAGAGCACTTGCCTGGCATAGATAAGGCCCTTTGGTTCAAGTCCACACACTGCAATAAGTAAGTGAATATGCAAGTTAAAAATAAACAAGAAGGGTTAGCTGGAGGCAGAAGGGCCCCAGAAACTTCCTCAGCAAACACCTGGGTGTCCCCTGACCACTGTGCTGTGCAGGCGTTGCGAGCACAGAGACGAATGGAGCGGAGTCCCTGTCCTCAAGGAGCACAGGGCAGTGGGTGGCGAACCTACGGCACGCACGCTGCAGCAGGCTGTTGGTATCACTGAAAGCTCTAAAAGGTTCGCCATCACTGGTCTAGAGGGACAGACAAGCAATAGACCCTTCATAGCATGAAGAAGGCAGTGCTAAAATGAGGGGGGGCCCTGGCTAGCGGGTGTGGAAGCCCGGGACCCCCCCATGATGCGCAGGAGTGAGTGAGGGAAGGAGGAGAGGCAAGGGCAGCACCCGCAGGAGCCTTCAGGGAGGGACGCTGGGGAGAGGAAGGCCGGGAAAGGGGACTTTGCCCAGCACGCTGAGGAGTTCAGACTGCAGGTGTCACGGAGGGGTGTTAAGGAAAGGCGTGAAACTGTCGGATTTGTCTAAGAACTAATACTGTAGCAGCAGGGGGTGTGAGGAAAGGCTAGCGTGGAAAGTTGAACAATGAGGCTGTTATGGGAACCCAGGAGGGAAAAAAGTGGTTGGTTTCAATAAAGAATAAGAAAGTCTTTTGGAGGTTTAGCGATCCACACTTATAATCCCAGATACTCTGAAACCTGAGGCAAGAGAATCCCAAATTTAAGCCCACCCTGTGCACCTTCATGAAACCCTGTCTTAAGATAACATTTTATTTTATTATTATTATTTTTTATTTTAAAGAGTAAGTTTCTCAGGAAAACAAACAGACAAATAATAGTTACAGGCAAAAGAGGTAGGAGATTATCAATAGTTGTTGTACTCTACTTAGGTATCTTCAAAAGAAAATAAATAGAACTATACATGAGTGACCTATTGAATAATCATTAACTATTCTCAATGGTTGTTGTAGGAAACACATAATAATAGACATGCATCCATTTATGAAATAGGATAGGAACAATACAAAC